AGATGAATCCCACGTAAAGCAGAAGCCAATGAGATGGAGACCAGTACGAAAGAAGAAACGTCATGTAAAATTAAGATACTTTTTGTATTTAACTCTGTCTTTGTAAATTCTGTACATTTAATTAAGTTATTGTTAATCATCTATTACTTTGATGTATGTGGCTATTGTTCGGGACGAACAATACTAAGGAAGGGTCAGTGTTACGACAGCGGAAGTCACGCGACGCTGGGAGCATGCGTGCTGGAGTTTCTAAAAGGATCATGAATTTTCCTGGCAACTCTAGTTGGTTCGAGGCGCCCTCTTCGTTAGTATATAAGCCTGGCGAGAAAAACCAGCGCGATCGGGCAGATATATTGAAGAGATAGATAATTGAGTCAACAGAATAGTAGGCTAGATGGCGGTATCAGTACAGAAAACACAGCAACTGAAGTTGCTTTCTGTGCTATGATGAAGAAGCAGCTTTGCTGTTAATCCTTGGCACTTATATTATATTAGACTAGGTGTGCATGTACATAAACTTAATGTCTGCTAATATAAAATGTGATCTGTATAGTAATTACGGAATTAACGATAATTCATTCAGTCCTTTATTTGATTACATTTAGTGTCATGATATCGTTCAAGTTAGTGTTTTTGCCTACTCAATAGGTGGGGTCTGAAAGCGTTTTGTGGCGGTTGTTGGTAGTTAAGTACAAAGCTACGTAAACAAAGCTACACCCAGTTTCTAGTTGTGTAAGTCCGCAGACATTCCGCTGTGCCACTGGAGGACACGTTTTGTGTTCTCCATCTTGTGGCGAGGATGATTTGTGTCGCTTTTGGTTGTCATGGCAAACAATCTTACCACTGAATGGTGATGTACTTATTGGATGGTACACTGCTTTGAAGTAGATATGTGTATTTGTGCGTTAGTACATATGCTTCGTTTGTTACGTATATATATTTCGTTACATAAACCAACTGAAAATATAAAAGGAATAAACTTTCCAGGCAGATAACTAAATTGGTTAACATATTGAGATGTGTATACGTTTAGTAAAGTACAAATTAATTAGCTGCGGCCATAATGAGATAATAACACAGTGTTCTCCGTGCTTCTTTAATGTTCTTAAGTAATATCTTTGGTTTAGTCCTAATTTGAAATGTTAATAACCATATGATTTTTTTTTTCTGAAAGAAAAACAACAAGCTATAAATGTAATGAATATTACACCGAGTGGGAAACTCATTGTTTTTATTGGTTTTGGTGAAGAAATATTTTGTAGTTTTGACAACTGTCGTAGGTATTGCGACTTTGTCTTTATAAGATAAAAACTTCATAAAAAACACAGTAAATATCTATTACTTTCAAGTAGTTTTTATAAAAAAATTAGTCTTATTTATGAAACTGGACCAAACTTTGCTGTTGTCCCTGGTACATTAAGAGCAGACTTGGGTTGAATTTCTATATGAGATCATACCTGTGGGTCTGATGGGTTAATAAGCTTCCTGAAGTGCAGTGAGGGAGCTGTTTCTAATAAAATATCAACGTTATGAAAGTTATGTTCAATTATATTTCTGATATGATAAAATGTTATTTACATGGAACCATATAAAGAGGGAAGAAACTCACTTATGGCTGTGTTCAGTGACTGATAAAGCCATTGAGTGGCATTGTGTTTGTCTGGTGTTATATAGAAGATTAATGGATTGGACGTTCATTGGTGCTTGGATCAGTGCGCTCTTGCAAAAAATGGATAGGTGTATTCATTATATGTACAAATGTAAACAGCACTTATATGTTTAAATGATGATTTTACTTTACGTCTGTGATGCATTAGTTTAGACTTAATAAACTTGCAAGTTATATTCTATGTTTACGTTATTTTCTTGTGTTATTCAACACTAAGTATACTATCCTGCATTCTATTTAATTGTTTATTTTGCGTTAAAATGTGTTCAATTTATGTTTTAAATTATCATACATTTTTATTGAGTTTTATGTTTCGTGAATATATTGTTACGTCTCCGTTTGTTAATTGATTTTCCGTAACTTCGTTCCGACGAAACCTTGTAAGGACTTGTGTCGCTTTAATAAAACTGGTTTATTCTTTCCGAATACAACTTTACGATACACTTATTTTCAACAATCGCTCTATAACAAACGCTATATCAACGAACGTCAACAATACTTCTGACTGCAGTTCAATTACTCACTATCTACACATACACATTATTCCGTCACGTTGTCACCCTCTTTTATATACCAGACTACCCTATATCTAGTAAATGCTAGAGCATTCGCCAAGGTACAGGATAGTTCTAGAAACGTGGCGTCACACTAGTCATGTGACTTCGCTTACGCAACAATATTAATTCAATTTCCTGAAGAAAAAATTCAGCTGTTTTTGAGCCATATTAAAAATATGCAACGAAAAAGTTTACAGTTTTTGTCACCAAAGGTTTATCAGGATTCATGATATACTGGGTAAATGTATGTAGGATATTTTTAAATGACAGCACAACACTAATCCAGCAAATTTTTAGCTTTATAGTATGTTAATGATATGTGTATCATGAAATTTGAGAGAAAAAAAGAAAGTTTACCGGTCTTGCCATCAGCTTACACTTTCTTTATTTGACAGCTTTTTAGCAATATGCAAAAACATGTACATGTGTATCATGAAATATGAAAAAAAAAGAAGAAAGTTTCTAACTATAAGTTTATATCTACCGTATTGTTTGGTGTATAAGATGCACTTTTTTACCCCCAAATTTGATGTCAAAATCTGCTTGCGCCCTATACACCGAAGGTATGAATAATATATATGTATGTATGCGATATACACAAGCCATGTATAAATATATTTAAATAGGCATGCATAGTTTAGTTCAATTGAATGTGAGATTTATAACAATAGATGTTTTTTTTTCTTTTAAAAACATAGCTATTTATAATGCTCCCTAAATAATAAAAAATTAATTACAGTGAAAGCAATGAAGATTTTGTAGGGTTTGAACCAAACTAAATAACAGTAAACTTTTTTTTGATTTACGGTATTTTCTTATTTTGATGTTTTGAGCTCTTTTGTGTTTAGAACAATATATACTGATTTTTAAAGTATCAAATTGAATTTTTGTTCAATAAAAATCTTTCAAATTCGAATGTAGCTTTTTTCCCCCCCATGCCATATAACTACATACCTGCAGTGTAATATAATATCTTCAAGACCCACATCACTTATTTCCCAACACCAAGCTAGAGAGAAACTGCGGAGGTTTCGACAGCTGAAAGATAAGGATATAGATAAGCTAGATGCTTAATTGGAAACTCTTAAACATGGTAGGTTTCTCAAGGCTAATGTTAACTGTCCTACTAGACGTGATGCTGGCAACACAGTGATCGTCTAAACTCAAGCTGTTCAAGTCAATATACACTAGATACTTAAGTAAAAACTCTTAAACAAAGTTTTTCAAGGCTAATGTTAACTGTTCTTAAGGAAGTACATAGAATGTCCTACCATGACGTGATGCTGGCAACACAACGATCATCTAAACTCAAGCTGTCCAAGTCAAGGTGAGCCAGATGTTTTAAACAACAGCTCTTAAAGAGGTTGTTCAATGCTGAAGTTGTTAGTTTAGAGCCCCTTCGAAGTTTCAACCATCTAAGTTCTTTCATTTTCTGCTGAAACACACCATTAAAAACAGATTATTCAGAATTATTTTAATGGAGAAATGTTACCCCAATCTTTTAATTCAACTTATTTCCATTGAATACTTACTTTCAAAGGAAACTTTGCCAATATTTCAGTTTCATATTAGTTTTATTTTTCACACTTATTTCAAATAACATATAATTTTAAAAGACACTTTGCTAATGTTATAATTTCACACCTACTAATCTTCTGAAGACTTGTTTCAAATAAAGATTTAACTTCAGAAGACACATTAACAAAGTTATAATTTCACTCTGTTTATCTTTTCAAGACTTATTTCAAATGAGTGTTTACTTTAAGTTGATACTTCGTCAACATTATAACAAGAGTTTTTGCACCTATGCAGAAGTGAAATTTCATGACTTTTCTACAATTTTTGAATGACCATTTTTAGAAACTTAAGGACCATTTTGTGTGGATTTACACAAGAAACTGCTCCTGGATGTACATGTTTTATATGGTGAAAAGGCAGTAATATATTTATTATTAATCTAGGAGTGTTCAAATGTAACTGAATTATTTTAAAATAAAAAATGTTTAAATGTTTCAGCATGTTTTGTATAATTTATACTGTGAAAGCCTACAAGGATTCTTACAGTTTTCCTCATAAGTCACTGTGAGGAGGAGCTGCTTAATGTCAGATGCAAATCTGATCATCTTATGTTCAACATCTTCCAGTTCCAATTCAGTTTCTTCAACCTTTCTCTTGTCACCTTTCTGTGGCTTTTGCTTTCTGAACTTATTTTCTAAGTATGTCCTATATCTTTATCTTACAGTTTCAAAACAGCTAAGCATTTCCGTAGTTGTGTTTACATTCAGGACATTTCCACCATGTCTAATGTGGTCAGTTATGTTTCTCCTAGCATTAAGGGACATGCCTTGTTCGTTATCTGTAATAGCTTCCTTATTTACAGAAAAGTACCTGTCGTGAACATAAAAGGTGGAAAAACATGAAGGAATTCCAGAATATGTATGACCTGGGGATCGAGTGGCTAGGATGTGACAGACTGTAGAGGTAGTTCGACCTCATCCAACACCATGTGGTATCTGGAATGATACATCAGATCTGCACCTACTTCTTCATCTCAAAATGGAAATTGTTAGGGAAGATGACTAAAATCTGTCTCCACTTGCATGCATTTCCATCATCAGATCCGCCAGGAACCAACATCCAGTAGACGGTAGGGAAAGTGGAAAGCCCCAGCAGGATGACATCTCTGGTCAAAAACCTGACAGCAATGGGTATGGTACTAAGTCAGTAGTATCACAGAAAACGTTGACAAATCAGCAAGCAAAATACAGCACGTCTGTACACTACAACTGCCAACAAGAAGTGATTAATGAGTGCAGATGTGAGGAGGACATTGGTTATGACAGGAGTGGTGTCTTGCTCCTATTGGTGGAGAGCTGCTGCATCATTTGCATGTGGATATGCAGAAGCAGGAGGTGGAAGGCTAGTGGTATGCATTGAAAATTTGTGCCAAAAGAGGGCAGTGCTAGTCGAGAAAATTATATTTTGTGAGAAGAGGTAAGATATTGTATCAGAAGTACCATTATACATACTTGTGTGCTGGTAATCATACAACTTTTAAACCAATGTTATTAATAAATAATGTAAATATCTACGTAACAAAAAAAGATGAATGTACATGAATGATTACAGTCTGCCTGCAGAGCAATAAGTCAACTCTTAAAGGAATGAGTAAATACTGATAAGCATAATGTATACTATATGTAAGATTTCTTATAATATGCTGATTTCTACAATGTAACACTTACTAACTTACCTATTTTAACTCTAATATTACAGCTGATTATGTAACAAGTCAACCTGAGCCCCAATTTGACTTTGACTCAATAAACATAAGACTAATGTTTATTGGTAAAAAATCATTAACTTTCTACATATTAAAGGATGAAATAGATGTACAGATCTACAGAAATCACTATTCAACCAACCTTTATATACTCGAGGCTTTGGTCTGTCATTTCTTCAGCATAAGACACTGCAAAGGTTTTTAAGTAAATGCACTTGCTGAGGCTTAGGTAACTGGCATCTGTCAGATCTTCACCATCAACCTCTAAGTGTTGCAGGGAAGAGTGCAAATTGTCACCCAGTAAACACACAGCACTGAAATATAAATTATCCTGTTGAACTGCTAGAATTTTATTTAAATAAACAATTAGTCAAATACAAGTATTGAAAACTGTGGAATGAGTTACCTGATGATTATCCAATGGTACCTGCTAAATGGCATCATTAATGTTTCCAATAATAATAGCAATTGTAAAAATGTCCCCTGTAATAATGTAAAGACAGAAAACTTTTTTATTATATACAAATAATAAACACAATTAGAAGGAAGGTGCTATTTCCATTTACTTTGAATTATTAATAGTGCAATATTTACCAGAGTCATTAATGTAATTGTGTGATTTACTTTGCTGGATCAGTATACAAATGTGCAGTGACACAGTTAACTTAGATTTGAAGTTTTCTTGTTGCTTATTTTTTGGGTGATCTCAGTAAGTCAAACGGTCTTTAGCCAAACTGCTCAATGCTCCTTGATATCATTAGTATTCCAAGTTTTGATTAAAAGAAAAATTTAAAAGGTTTCTAAGGTATTCTCTAAACACTACAAAAATTTTGCTTTTAAGAAGTGAGCTTACGAGAATATTCAAAAGAGAGGTAATGGTAAAAAACTTTGGAAGAGTATTTAAAAGGATTTGTACTGACATTTCAAAAGGCCCCCTGATTAGGTGGATGACAATGATAAGATATATATATATCTTGTTAACAAATATCAGTCATGTTTTTATGGAAGATTAATGTTACGAAAATTGGTTCGGTAAGTCTGTCTTCCATGAGGTTGAAGAACTTAAGATTCTGAATGTTTATGTTCTCACATAGAATGTGAAAGATCCTCCAAGAGAAGGTGCCAGTTTAGACCCTGTTCTTAGTAAAGGGGAGATAAGCTTGTTTCACAGATCCTACTAGAGAAAGTGGTATTTTAGACTGTTCTTAATAGAAGGAGATACAGTTATCTCACAGATCCTAGTAAAGAAGGTGGTATTTTATTTTTAGACCTTGTTCTTATTATTGGATGGGAGGAATAAAGTTAAAGAAACATACTTGAATACTAGTAATTATGACATCATTATTTTGGATATTTTTTACTGAGTTCATATGAATAAGTTTATGAAAAACACATTTTCAGGAAATGAAAACTTTTTTTTCAATAAAGACTTTGGAATGAGCCAGTCATCCATGTAATGATGAAAGAGCAACCCTTGAACATGTAAATGTCAGGTGAACACTTTGACCACCCAACAAAAGAAATACAGGACCGAAGCAAACCCGAAGGGCATGGTTTGAAGTTGATAAACTACCTCACGATGAACGAACCGAAGATAGCTTCTCAACGGATGAGATATCAGGATATGCAGGTAAGCATTCGCAATGTCTACCTCGGTCATCCACAAACCCAGAGAAAAAACCCACTTGAACAAAGATTGATTGAGGCAGGATAAATTGATCAGAGGCCACCAGTCTCTGGTTTTCTTTGGTACTAGAAACAGCCTGTAAAAAAATCCTGGAGAAGGATGATTGACAAGTTTGATAGCCTGCTGGGAGAGAAGATCTTGTACTGCCTCCGACAGATGCTGCCTGGTGGTAGGATCCCGAGTCAATGGGAAGGAAATGGGTATCTGAGATAACGAAGGAGGGGAAAGAAATTATATGACAAGTCTCTTGGATAAAAACCGGATAACCCATAGATCTGTGGCGAAAGGTTGTCAAAGGGGAACAAAATCGGACAAGTGAGCCCCTACTTGGTAGTCACTGGTACCATTGGTGATGTGTCTATCTGTGTGAAATAAAATGACAAGATGGGTAATTCCTGGAGGGAGGAACAGGTAAAGGCTGAGAAGGAGCCGGATGGGAAACAGTAACAGGGGCATGTCTATGTCCAGAATGCAACAAATAATCCACCAGAGAAGAAGAAAGGGTAGTGTGCTATTGCACTGGCTCCATACAGGATTACAAAGTCTCAGGAATATTACTAGAAACATACTGCAAAGAAAAGGGCCTACGTAAATCCCAGAGATAAGGAACTGGTAAATGAACCTGGGACAAGGCTGCGTCCCTCCCCAGGAAATCCCAACAACAGAAAAACCACATGTGTAAGGCTAGAGCCGAAGAAGACAAACCTGCTAATTTGGAGGTAATCAAGGAGAGGCAATCCCTCAAAAAATCTCCGAATCTCAGTTGTTCACCTTGGAAAGCAGGTGGATAGTAGACGAGTACTCTAAAAGAGTTGATAGGTCAGGACGAAGGTAAGAAACTGGTCATGGGATAAATAAACAGAATGATCAAGGTCCATAACATCGAAGGATAACATTAGGCAAGCAAACATTAGGATTTTGTCATAATGTCTAGGATCACATTAGACAAGTGAACATTATGTTTTGTTACAACATATAGTACTTATATTTTATATATCCTTGAGCTACACTATCAATGTATAGCAAGAATGTGCCGTCGATAATGATTTTGCTTTATGGAGATATCAGCAATAAAGTACTGGTCAAATTCCATGCCTTCAGCTGACTTGTCATAAATTCTCTTTAACATTTGCTATTGTATTATTTGTAATCAATAAAAAAGCAAAGATTTCACTGAACTGACAGCTATAAGTTCTAAAGGTCTGGGACAGTGAAATAATAATTTTGACATTTGAATATTGTTTTCTTAAAATCTCGCTGTTTGAGCTCTACTTGACCTGGTATGGGAATAATTTTAGTTAGAAAGCTAGATGAACTATATATGTTTTAGGGCATTCTAATTTATCTGCATGGAAATATTTCATATTCTAAATTGAATAAAAAATTGCTGTGGCCACATAATTATAAATAATTGTAATTGTCTGTTATAATCTGCAGCTGTTCTAGAAAGAAAAAGAAGTAATTTACATTTATTTTATATTTTTGGTGGTAGTTACAATGTTGGTAAAAATGACAGAGCCTGTACACATAGAGTTAATAAAACTCATATAAAATACTTTGTCTTTAACATAATTTTACCAAAAATATTGAAACAAAATGAGTTTGAAGATGCTTGACTCAACTGTTCATATTAAGACCACCTTCTCATTTAACAGAAAATGCAGTAAAGTATTTTACTGTTTAAAAGTCTATGTTGAACTGTTTTACTTCAGATATTTATGCGTTATTATCATTGTTGGCATAATTGTATGATATTTTTGAAGCAAAATACACATCTAATAAGAAAAAATATGATATTTCTCTTTTTCATTAAAAAATATGCATTTCCTAAAGTTGTTGGGCAAGTATGTGTAAGTTGTATATGATAAATATTAAAATACTGAAGAACATCGTTTCAAAATTATCCTTACGCCCACATCAAATGGCCCTAATACACAAGAATTATGTTACTTCGAAGATTTATCAGTATCTTATACCTAAAATCACCAAGTACAACCCTAGAAAAATTAAAGCATTTAGTAGGATAATAAATGGAAATTTAAGACAAGCATGTTATTAAAACCTATATTTCTAATGTTGACTATTGATCGAACCAGCATATTTCCTCTGAATCACTCCTGCATCCATTTCAGGTTGTTAAATCATAACTATACATTTTAAAATCACAAATATATTATTGTTCTTAAATGTGTGTCCTTTTACAGATTGAACCCCACCCTTCAAAAAATTGTGTTTCTGCACCTGTAAACAATAACATTTTAAAATTCACTGCAATACTTAAGCTGATAGTACAAAGTGTTTCAATTATCCAGAAAAATCAGTATGACCTTAATGACTGGTTCAGAATATTGGAAATGAGTTTTATTGCCAAGATGTTTAAAGTTACATATGTATTTATGGTACAAAATTTTGGAAAGGACTTGTATAAGAGGAACACAGCTGTTGTGGAAAAAAGGATATAAAAAAAGTAAAAATCTAACAGCTTTCTATTTATTGCTCAGTTATGGTGAAATCTAATGGAATTCTTGGATCTTTATAGATATTTATTGAATCAGTATTTACACCTTGCATTGCACTCAGATAAAGTTTCACTTAAAATGCTGTATTTAGAGTTTCTTTCTATATGACAGAATGAATATCAACATGCCACAGACTAAAAAAAACAAGTTACTACAATTATACAATGTAAATATTTTGAAAAGTTGACCTGATGCTTAAAGTTTTGAATTTAATTTGTCTGGAACATAGAACTAGAAGTGATGTTTCAAGTTTCCTTAAATAAGGAAGCACATTATGGTAATATAATGATAAGCAGGCAAACAATGATTTATAAGCATAATGAATAGATTTATTTATGGCAGAAAATACTAAATGTTTTGATAGAACACTGCTCTGTTTTATTCAGGAAATGTTGTCAAAACACAGCATGTTCCACCATAGCTGAATCACTTCATTATGTTTATAAATCATTGGATGGCTACTATTATTAGTATTTATATGTATAAATATTTGGAGCAATAAGTTAAACCTTTGGAAGACATTTTAGCAAGTTGATTTTCCTGATAAGTATAAATGTCGAGTGTGTATGTGCCATTGGTTTTTACATGAAAGGATTAAATTTAGTTTCGTTTGATGCTTTGCAAGGTCATTTGATAAGAGTGGGGTGCTCTTATGTCTTATTGAAAATTTGATTAATTACTTTCCAAAACACTATTTACTCTTTCAACCATGGCTTGAACACTTTAAACTTTCAACACTCTGTCTCCTGGTTCTTTCCATAAAGGCAATGATGTTTTTCGAACAACAAAAGTCCTTTTCATATTTACATGATATGTGTAACTCTACACTTCTCAGTATTGAAACCTACTGTATACATTCTCTTATGGTCATTTTTGTATTATTATTAATACATTGATGTTGACCTCAACTTATTCCATGCATCTTATTAGTTATCAGCACAAGTTTAACCATTTCTCTATGGCTGGGATATATATTTCCCAGCCATAGTGAATAGGTTAATACATTATGACAGAACAGAAAAATTGAATATTATGCGACCACTTACCATGAATCTAAGAGGAAATGACATCATTTCTTCTTTAAAAAAAAAAAAAATAAAATGAGAGAAGAAAAATTGTATGCTTATTATTTTTATGTAGCAAAAGTTCTTCTTACATTCAATTATTACCAATATCATTTCTACTGAAGACAATATTATCAAACATCATTTCCAACTACATGTTCCATATTGATAAGATTATCATTAATCACTTTGTAATCAATTTTACAAGTCACCTCCCTGATTATTTAATGGTGTTGAGTCGTACCTGTCAGTTATTCGGGTTATTCCATCTATGTTGAGACTTTCTAATTCTGAGCAATGTGATGCAATCTTCATAACAGCTTCATTGTTCAGAAATGTACAGTGAGAAAGATTCAGTTTCTTCAAATGTTTGAGCCAAATTATTTTACACACAGCTTGGCAGTCAACTCCTACACATCCTTCAACATTGAGATCTTCAATAAGAGGACAACTAGTAATAAAAGTACATAATACCTCATTCCCAACTCCATCGCAAAAACCCAAGTCTAGCTTCCTCAAAAGAGGAAAACATGATGAGTAGAAAGCTATTTTATCAAGAGGAAAGGATGATGCTCTCAAAGTAAGTGACCTTAACATTGTGGATCGTATCAGTATGGTACATACTGAGTTCACATCTTTTTCACCGCGCACAAAGTTTTTTAAGTTCAGACTCTTCCACAATGCTGGATCATATGCACATTTTAACCATTCTTTACAAACAGGTGCAACACAATGACACAACTCCTTTGGAGTAAGAAAAGAGAAAACTTTCAATTGCAGTTCGTATGGCATATCTTGAAATACTGTATTTTTCTTGGGCATACTAATGATCTTACCAGCACTATCACTACATCTATAAATATAATTCTGACTTCTACTGTCTAGTTCTATTACAAGTTACAACTAGTAGTGCTAGTAATGGTGCTATTACTATTAGATAGTAGTCCTATTAAATACCATTGGTACAACAGTAACGTTAGTTCCAATATATAAAGTACGACTACCGTGATAAGTTATGTTTTGAAAAATTCTTATATAAAATTTATCTTACTAATTTTAGTAACATAATCACTTACTTAAGTTAAAATCCAACGTTTACTGCACATGACCTAACAATATTATTCATTTATTCAATTTATTGCTTGTAATTCTACTCTAGATGTCACGATTAACAAAATTCTAGAGAAAATAATGACAATTCTATTTGGAGATACTTATTTTGCTTTCATTTTTAAGGCACTATATTTTCGTAATAACCTTCCAATAACTAGATTACATTATTCACGATCTTAACTAATTTGTGAAATAAAGAAAACGTGAGGGCATAGAGTTAGTGAGTTACGGATATAACTGGAGTGGAAAATAGGAAAAAAAAACCCATAAGAATAGTCATTTAATTATATTTTATAGCTACTCTTGAAACTAAAAATCATTTATGATACATACCATATATATACATTTTTTGTCTTAAAAGTTAAAGTAATATGGATTATATACTTGTATTATAATAACGTAAAACTAAAAATGTAACATAAAATTTCGCTCTTCCCAAACATTACAGTCTTTAGTTTAAATGCACTGTTTAAACTTGAAATAAAACTAGCGTTAGTTGTTTCACCGTAATAAAACTTATCTTTATTTTAATCATTTATTATTGTTTTTAGCACTTGATATAAAACCTTTCTTTGTTTGTTTGTTTTTAAATTACTGTATTTGTTGTTTTCCAAAACTACACATGGCGCTATTTGCCATGTGTCCGCTGTGGTGCATCGAACTCTAAAAAATTCTCTGCTGATAGAAAAAAATGCAACAATTTCTGAATAATTTAACGATGCTGATTCTATAAATCATGTTGAAAATGTCTAAATTACTAATCGCCTCTAGTTTTCGAGTTATGACAGATTTATTCAAAATATTCTAATATATCGTAAAATAAAAACTTTTCCTTTAATAACTTTATTTAATCATTTAAGAATGTTCAAAAACAACAAAGAATAGCAATACCATTTTAAAAAGCAACGAATTTAATAAGATTATGTACTGAATATATATTTAGGCTATATTCTAAACTTTTAGCATGGCATTATTTTTTATTTTTTGGTACCAAATATCTGTTTGACTTGTTGCGCCTTTTGTGTATGTTTTCACTTTTACGCTGTAAGAACCAACAGTTATCTTCTATCATCACAGGATTCCGTCGAGCTTGATATCACTGGCCCCACAGTGGCACAGCATTATGTCGGCGGACTTAAAACGCTAGAAACCGGGTTTCGATACCCCCTGGTGGGCAGAACACAGATAGCCCTTTGTGAAGCTTTGTGCTTAATTACAAAAAAATTACATCACTGTTCCATTCCATTGTGTAAATATCTTGGTGGAAGCGCTCACCATGCTTATCACTCACTGCATCTAGCTCAACTGGAAAGAAGTTTAAATGGGAGTGTAAGAAGTGGATCTTTAATGACATCTTAGACCCTGTTTTCCTGTAGTCTCGAGCATATCATTAATTATCACAGCATAATTTTCATCTCTGTAAACTCCTAAGAGATTTTGACAACCAGTTTGAATGATTTCCAAGCAGCGAGTTCTTTCTGATTGAGTACTGTTTCAAAATCACCATCCATCAGCACTACCCGAATCTGTGGCCCAACAAAGATACCTCCTTTCGTTTTTGCTACACTGATTTTTGGAAACTTGTCAAACAGATATCTGAAACCATTATCATCTTTATTTATTTATTTTACAAAATTTTTCACGAGTCCCAGTTTAAAACGAAGTGGGAGTAGAAACACATTTTTCAGATTCACTGAAGGTTGATACTATAGATATTCTGTTTCCTTGGTAGGTAATGCCCTCGCACTGGCCATTCATTCTTTTTGAAATAATTTTTATCATCTTGGCTGTCCCATAGACACAAAAGCAACAATGTTTGGTATACCCACTCTGCAGGCGTAGCAGGAGTACAGTAACTTTTAGATCACCACATATGTTTCACCTATGGTGATTCTGTTTGATGGCCTCAGGTATAATCTACATGCTTTGATAAGTTTCTCTCATTTTCACAGCATGAGTAACAAGAATCTATGGCTTAGAGTTCTCATTGTGCAAAAGTACAGCTTTTAGACTAATTTTAGATGAATCAATAAAAAGTCTTCATTCTTGAGGACGATATTCAGTACCTAATTCTTCCAATAATGCATCAACATTTATACAGAAACACAAAGTATCTTGCACGTTGTAGAGAGAAGCAATACTTTGATGACAGCTTCAGTAAATTAAAACTTTTGTTCTTGTATTTAAAGAATTATATTGCTGTAAACGAGAGCCGAGAAGTTCTCTATACTGCTTCGATAGAAACAAGTCACAAATTAGATTATTTAGCTCTTCTGTGTGATAAGATGAGACAGTTTATGTTCAGGTGTCACGGAATAGAATTACTAGATGAAGAGGATGGAGATGATTCATTATCTTCTTTGCAGGTTAACTCTTCTGTTTCTCAATTCGCTGGTGGCACTGGAAGACCATCCACATGAGGTACTGGTTTCCTTGCAGATGCAATATCTGGATATTATAACTGGATATAACAGTCAATTTGATGATATTTGGATTCACGCCATATCATGGAAACTGCAAATGGCATACTTGCGCTCTTCTTATTCAGCGACTATGTCAAGCCAGATGTGAAAACTGTACAACACCCATGTGGAGCCGTATGTTTTTCTTGGTCACCAATTTTACATCCAAAATAGTGGCAGTAAGCTACCTTTTTCTTCGTAAAACTGTAATATATTTTTCACAAATGTAACTGAAAATGTTTGGGAGATTTTTGTACTTTCGGCAGCTAGCATTTCAAATGATTTACTAAAAGTATAAAATAATTTATGTTTACAGCACTAGAGTTTAAAAAAAAAGTGTTACAAAATTTGATTATATCAAGGGTATGATGCGAGGAGAAAAATTGGACTTTGTTTCGATGAATGAGAAGAAACTGAGAGAGAGGAACCGAAAAACTGACAGGACTTTAGATGAGAACAATTCAACAGTCGACATTACAATGTCGGCTGTTGAACAGTCAACATCCAGGGTGCTTGAAGTTGAAGATAGATTATCTTCCTTCGTTCCGCACGAGGTAAGAGTTATTTCCTCAAAACTTGAGTAGTTTTGCTAGTGGATGGATTTCTTGAATGTTCTAACAAACTGAGCACGTGATGGTTTCGTGATTCCCGGACAGAGCAAGTCAGCGTGGGAATACAGCAAAGTTGTGCAATTCGATACAATTATACCGAGAACAAATAGCATATATAAACAATATATTTAGAAGTTTACACCAATAAAATACAGTCACCAGCTATCAGTTATCAAAAATGTGTGCTTTTTACCCATTAAACTGTCCAACTAAACTTAATTTCAGAGCAGAAATCTATTATACTGAGTTGCTTGTATGGTATTTCACATAGTTCTGATAAAATATTGAGATATTACAATAACTAAATAACTAGAGGTGATGGACAAATACTAACTATATTTTTGAAATCAACACCATCAAATTACCCCGAATCATTTGAGTTTTCTCCAGTAACAAAATTTTTTTTTTGTCCAGTGTAATAAAGAAAATATTGAAATAATATTAAAAAGACTTTTTATGTATATTTACCTGAATTATTCCTCTGAATTAGATTACAACATATGTTTGGCGAGGAACCTACTAATTAATTAATTCAAAACTACAATTGCACAAACTTTTACAGCAGGCAAGTTCCGATTTTTATTTTTACAACGTTCCTAACCATCGTATTATGGGTCAAAACGTTCTAATTATTAAAATGTAAATTTATCTACTATAAAAGTTGTTGTTTTTGTATTTTTTTAAATTTATAACATAACTTGTTTTGTTACTCTGTTAATTTTCTTTTCTCTCCGTTTCAGTGCTAACTATTGAATGCCAACATTTGTTTTCTTTGCCGGAAGTATATTTTTGTATAACGATAATCAACTCTTGGGCAAGTAGTACGGTAGGCCTGATGTGGTTAACGTAATAAAAATAATAAACAAAACAATAATTTGATTGTGATTAATCATATCAGTATTATTAACTCTGGCTATACAGTATTAGTACAAACAAAGAATATATCGTAAATAACCGAACTACCAAAAAAGAATGCCGTAGGACATCTAGTGAAAAACAAAATCACTTTCACGTTTCAGACTCGGTTGGTAAGTAATCAGTATCTATCACGATGGTTCATAAATATAATTATATCATCACTTCTTCGTTTGTTTAAGTTTTAACACCTGCCACACGAACCAGCCCGGCATCTTTATGTGACTAAAATAAGTCATTCCTTAAACGTTAAAGGTTTGAGTTGTTTTGATTAGACAAAAGGAAGATATTTTGAAGTTTAGGTCTCTAGACCTGACCAGAAACCATGAGAGCCAACATAGTGAATAAAACGATGTAGCAATGAAACATGCTTGTAGTTGAAATGTTTTAGATGTGGTTGTAAATGTGATAGTTTAAGTGTACCGATTAAGCTAAACAGTGGGTCCTGGTTGGATGAGGGAAGAACTTATTCGAAGATATCTCAATTGATATGACATACCAGCTGAATTGGAGATTTATCAATTAATTACTGCATTGACATCAAAACATAAATCAGTGGGTACAATAGTATAATTTTCTTCGAAAAGGGGGCTTGGAGTCGTATTTAAGAAATTGTCAGTTTTAATATAGTGTGAATCTAATGGCACAGTAAAGCCTAAAGATGCAGTGTTGAAGTTGAAGAAGATGCATGATGCATTAGAAAATGATTTTCCCAGTAATTCTTAACCTAAAAATGCCATTTTTGCAATAAAGAGTAAATATAAGAAGGATGGTATAATGCCCAGTATAGTACCACCATAGTATAATCCATATAGATTTCATCATGCCATATTTTCATTAATATTTAGTTGTTTTTTTTTCATTTTAGAAGTGTGCTGAGCTTCATTCATCGATATCTGTTGAAATAGCCTTAAATAATCGGTTTGTAGAATGACCTCCCCCTGTTGACCATCCTAGGCTCTGTACTAAAAGATGCTGGGCTGGCTCCTGTGGCAGGTATTAAAAGACTTGAAATTTGAATTGTAAACAAATATGCTGTATATTGTCAATGTTCACTGACAGTTAGGGAATTACACAGATAGTGTAAAACACAGAAACAAAAAAGTAAATCATATATATAATTTTAGCATTCTCAATGGGTGGGTTTGACTATCACTGTATCAGGTCTGCTTGACTAAAGTGCAACTTGCAAGAATTGTGTTTGTTTTTTATATGACTGTTCAACATGTGTGGGCTATTGTTATTTAATTACTTCAAGTTTAGTGATAAGTAGTAGACTAATGAATGAGAATTGACTTTCTATATTACAAGATAATCTGTCTTAATTGTACTATGATTTCATACTGACAAACACAGAGTGACAGTGAGGTCAGTACACAAAGTATGAAGTGTTGGGTTTTAGATAAGTTAGTTCTTGCTGGTTTATAATATCCAGGCTCTGGATATGCTTTGAATATGTCTTATAACTTGTATTATTCAGAGACTGAACTCTTAAGTTCAGGATGCAGGTTGTGAGCTTTAAAATTAACTACTTTTCTTTCTTAAAATGTTATAAATCACAAAATAGAACTGTAAAAGATATAGATTAATATACTTTAAAGTTTAACAAGTTATGGAATTAGATTATGTGATTATAATAGATATAGTTTATTGTGGTTCCATTAAATGATGGAATATAATTGCAGCTATTATAAATTGGTTAATTACAAAACAATAAAATTGTAACACTAGTGACTTCTAAAGAAGGATGATATGTATATCAAAAGGATTGGATATTTTTTGTTATTCACTTATTTTTTGTGTTCCTATGTGATATTTTAGTATTAGAAATATATTTTTCTAACAGGGAGATTTTGACTTGTTAGGGAAGTTGAATATCATATATGTGGAACAAGAAAATGCTGGTGCTTAAGGTGCTTAATTTTATAATTTCATCAAAAATATTTAATCTGAAGAAAACCCAATGAAAGTTTTTTTTGTACCTTGGTGAGGACAATTGTGTCTTTACATATATGAAGACAGTAGAAGTTTTAATAGTTTAGAGTTTTAACATTAGTCAAATGTCAAACGTTTTGAATTTTACTTAATCAATTAAACATTAAAAAGTCAAATATTAAGAGACTATGGGCTACTCAAGGCTCTTTTGTTGTTTACTTCCTACTTTTGTCATGTGGCATTAGTGGAAGTGGAAGATGGTGAGATTGATGTTTCATCTTAACCTTGCATTTGTAAAAATACATCTTGATGCCACTCAGATTTCAATTCTTTCTATCATTACAATTTTTATGTCATTAATAATTATACATTTTACAAATAAATATTACTACTAAATTCAATGTAATTGTGACAGGCAAGAAAATACATGAAATTATGGGTATAAATATTTTGTGTGTGTGTGTATATATATATATATATAAACAAACACTCAAAAGTAATTGTCAGGTTTTTCAAATATAGCAATTTATGTCAGACTTGATAGTTTAATCACTTTGGATTAGAACTTCTGTTTTTTTTCTTTACACATCAACATCATAATCTCTCACAATATAGCCATGTTGACTTTAGGAACTCAGAATAAACAGGTCATTTTTGATATGACAGGAGTTCAAAATTAAAGTCTAGGCTGTGCTCTGCAGAGCAAATTATATAGGAACAGTATGGGAATAATGTTTGAGGAGGACAAGGGGTCTCAGGCAAACTATCATGCAAACGTATACTAGTAATGTTAGCATACCATTTCTGTGATCAATGCCCACTGTATAATCAGAAACAGGTCATTATCATACCACAGATACAATTATTTTTCATGTTATATTACTATTTTAATTTATAGAATTGACAGAAATATATGGTATTTTATGTGTATATAAAGCTACTTATATAAGAAAGTATTAGAACTTTCTCAATATTGTTTTCATTTTAAACTGATATAACAATGCTTAAGCTTTAATTTTTTTTCAAAGTTTAAATATTTAATGCATCAAACTTCCATAGACCAAAGCATTTTCTATGGTGTTATCTTGGTTAGTGCACTTATGGCAGGTTCTTCTTTGCCAAGGGCTTTGTACTAATTTTGAGGAATGAATTTTGCATTACCTTGAATAGAAACACATGAATGCAGGACCTGTTATGTAGGTTATAGACACTCTCGAATGTAGGACCTGTTATTTAAGTTATAGACACTTGTGAATGCAGGACCTGTCATGTAGGTTATATACACTTGAATGTAGGACCTGTCACGTAGGTTATAGACACTCGTAAATGCAGGAACTGTCATGTAAGTTATAGACACTCATGAATGTAGGACCTGTTATGTAGGTTACAGACACTCATGAATGTAGGACCTGTTATGTAGGTTACAGACACTCATGAATGTAGGACCTGTCATTTAGGCTATAGACATTCTTGAATGTAGGACCTGTCATGTAGGTTATATACACTCTTGAATGTAGGACTTGTCATGTAGGTTATATACACTCTTGAATGTAGGACCTGTTATGTAGGTTATATACACTCTTGAATGTAGGACCTGTCATGTAGGTTATAGACACTCATGAATGTAGGACCTGTCATGTAGGTTATATACACTCTTGAATGTAGGACTTGTCATGTAGGTTATATACACTCTTGAATGTAGGACCTGTTATGTAGGTTATATATACTCTTGAATGTAGGACATGTCATGTAGGTTATAGACATTCATGAATGTAGGACCTGTTATGTAGGTTACAGACACTCATGAATGTAGGACCTGTCATGTAGGTTATATACACTCTTGAATGTAGGACCTGTCATGTAGGTTATAGACACTCATGAATGTAGGACCTGTCATGTAGGTTATATACACTCTTGAATGTAGGACTTGTCATGTAGGTTATATACATTCTTGAATGTGGGACCTGTCATGTAGGTTATAGACATTCTTGAATGTAGGACCTGTTATGTAGGTTATATACACTTGAATGTAGGACTTGTTGTGTAGGTTATAGACATTCATGAATGTAGGACCTGTCACGTAGGTTATATACACTCTTGAATGTAGGACTTGTCATGTAGGTTATAGACATTCATGAATGTAGGACCTGTCACGTAGGTTATATACACTCTTGAATGTAGGACCTGTTATGTAGGTTATAGACACTCATGACTGCAGGACCTGTTATGTAGGTTGTTATTTTATTCGCAAATAGCTAGAAGTTAAGCAACTCTAAACAACAGGAATGAAACATGCTGTGATGAACAAATTTTTGAATAAGAGATCAATCTAGTACATTTTACATTAGCAGCAAAGGGTTTGCTCCCACATACAAAAGTCAGGAAATAAACTGGTTAAGTCGGGGAGCTGTTGTTGCCGTTGCATATAGTAACGTTGAATACTTCTTACTCTTGCTCAAAATTTACCACAACAAGAACAGAATATGTTTGGGTCACTTACACAACCTCTTATTGCCATAACGATGAATGAATAATATTGAAAAGTAAAAAATTTATGTCAAACTGCACGCACAAACAAATACTATCCAGAAATGACACGTCATGTGGCCTGTTAACCATTTATATACTAGCAGTGTGTTTCTCATGGGTTCTAGAGCGATCGATAAAACTCTCACATCATGATTGGTCTAGAGAAACCTATAGCCAGTGGTTGTCAACATTTTAAGCATAACAAAATGTGACCCAATTTCAATGAAAATGATTCACTTATGTAAAAGTACATATGATGTTTTGTGAAAAATATGCACATGATGGAGAAAAAATGGATATCATTTTTGGATTCAGCATACGGGAATTACTGTAGAACATGTAAAAAGTTCAGGACAATAAAACCATCGCTGGCCTGTGTTATGACAGTAATTATTCCGATTATTCTCACAGTTACAGTTATTCTTGAATTGATTGCCTTCTAGTGTGCAAATTTTTGCTTGCCACTAGTCTTGAAACTCCCATCCAATTCCACATGTATACCATATGGTTCGTTCAGCTGTGTTTAAGCATGCAATAGTCCTTCACTAAAAGGAGTGCGACAAACCTTGCTATTGCAGCTGACTCCCTCTATGCAGCTGAACCCAATCTTCACTTGTCAATTTGGCATGACAGTGTTAAAACCCATTGCTTGATTTCAAACTTTTATTTTCTTCTGTAGTGTGTTTTGAAAATCTTCAGTTACTGGTTTTCACATTTCAAAGTATTGTTTATAATCCACTATTGAGTTGGATTGCATTATTTGATTGTGAATTCTATTTCTCACTCAGTTGCCAGTAGTAAGTCAATATTTATGAATTCACAATTTAATATTATGACTATAATGGCTACCGGTTTTCAATAGCCTGTCACAATGACTGCAGGTGCAGCATTATCGGCAGAGAAAGTGTTGGTTGTAGTTTGTTGGTAGATGGCTTCTTTCGTGTGGGCTGAGGGATCTCCTGATTTACAAGCAATTCTGCCATTTCTTGAGTACTTACATCAGGATGATGCAGACTTGGACAGCCTTTCCCGTCCTTTCTTTGCTGCGCAGGCACATTCACAGCATTTTGAAGCACCTAGACCTCAGTTACCCTTTTTAGACTTGATATCACAGATGTTTTATATTTTTGTCATCTGTGTCATTTGATCCCTCCCCTTCCTTTTTAACTGCAGCACCTAGTTCTGAGGTTTGTTTTCCCCCATTTGCCTGATGTTGGGGTCCATGCCAAATGTTTTGCAGATCAATTATGTGTGGGGGTTAGTATGCCTCACCCTCACATACTGATTCTAGCTGTAACTGTGAGTGGAGGTAAGTAATTGTATTGGAAGTTAATATTTTCCTACACTGAAAATATATTTCCCATAGATACTTACCTTCTCTCACACTTCCCACCCATTCTCCCCACTTCTGGTGTCATTTTTTGTGCATATCTTGATGTGAAGATTGGGTTCAACTGTATACAGGTAGTCAGCTACGAGAGGAAGGTTTGTTGCATGGTATACAGGTGGAATTAGATATGAGTTTCAAAGCTATTGGTGAGCAAAAATTTGCTCACCAGAGAGCAATCAGATCGAGAATAGCTGTAACTGTGAGAGAAGGTAAGTATCTGTTGGAAAAATATTTTCAGTGTAGGAAGTATTTAATTAACTGGCTTGGTGGAATATTCTCATTTACAAGTCCTTTCTGCTCTCTTTTTTTTGTAGTTGTTATTGTGATTTATAATTGTATAAGCTTATAACTAATATTTCTTTTTTTTTTAGATAAATGGTCTCAAAATCAACAATATTTAAACTAAGATTTTCCTTAAGTTTGGTATTAAAGTAGTAAATTAAATTATTAAAAGAAAAATATTTCAATAAATCTGAAATGAGTATCATAATTTTTATTCAGAAACATGTTTGGCTTTCATTTATTGCCTCTTATCAACAAATTGCTGTTAAATGCATAATGATTCATTTCAGATCAACCACTCACTTGATTCACTTATACCTCTCTTCATATATGTTTACCATATCTGAAGTTCCTCCCAGTTCATGCCTGGTTACACAGTGTTCTTTAAATGTATTCACTCTTTGTCTAACTTTATCTTTGACAAAAGTAAAATTTTAACACTTCTTGAGTAGCTATAGGTTTGAGATTTGCATTGATTTTAGTGGTCTTGTGATTGTGCCTTGACTTGGCCTACTATAGCTTGCCAAGACACTTTTGTTTTATTACTCCCAGCATTTATCCTTTCTATTTGCAAGTATGCATTTTTTTTATTAATATCTACAAAGAAAACCTTAATTTTACTTCCAATCTTTATTTCCTCTAAAAACCTATAAATTTGATGGTAAACCTATATTTTAACCCAAACAACTGCCACTAATTTTTCAATACTGTAATCACGATATTATGATAAATATCCAATACAAATCCTTAGTATTGTAATGATTTTACAGCATTTTTCATTATTAGAGTTTAAATGATAAAATGTCTGTAATTACACACAAAGTAGTAGATTCCTCTGTGAAAATATTACAGCTGGATTTGTACATGTAATAGCAAACCTAAATTTTTCAAAATAGCCCATGAAACTCACTAAATGGTGGAGTTAATGTATTATACTTCATATGGATTACATTCATACTGGATATCTGATTGTCTATTTATTCATCAACTTTTTTATACTTTTGTAATCTCATATAATTTTCTTAGAGAAAATAAAATCCTATTTCTTTAATAAATACTCCTTGTACAACAAGCAAAATGTAATTTTCTAACTTCTTAAGTCATTGCATCATTAATAGATACAGGAATATCATTTTTAATGAATTTTGACAACTTGGTGATTTCAGTGTTTACATTTAATATAGGTTTAACTTTTTGGATATTTTGGAGTGATAATCATGGATCTAATCCTGAAAGGGATTCTCAACTCCCACCATCCTGAAACTTTGAAAGGGCAGCTTATTGAAAAAAAACTGATTCCTGCAGCATCTCAACCTATTACACCTGAAGGATGTCACATGGTCTTTACTACTTCATGGGACTTCAGTGTTAATGGAGATTCTGAGTTTACTCAGGATATTGGTATGAAGGTGAGTTTCTTTCATGAGTTCTAACCATCTGAGCATGGGTGGGTTAACATGCACATATCACTGATCTCTTTACAGAGCTACCTAGAATTTAATGAAACTATTTTATTATCCATAAACCTGACATCAAGATGTAGATCATAATTCAAATTTTTATATTATATAAATTTAATTTTTTTAATTTCAAAAGGAAATATTTCAATAAATTCTCAATTTTCACCTGTCTGTATCACATGACCCTTTTTTACTCTGGATTGCTTGTTGTTTTCTACCCCTAACTTTCTGTGGAATTTTATATCTCTGAACTAAACTGTCAACTTGTACTTTATGCAGATATAAACAATAAAGGGAAAGCCACATATCATGCCCCTTGTAGAACATCTTGCATTCAAAAAGTTTAATAAATTCTCTTTGACATTTGCTATTGGACTATTTATAACAAACAGAAAGTGAAAATTTCAATTTAATGACAGTTATGAGGCCTCAAGTCCTTGGAATAAACATATTTGAACATTTTGGTATAATTTTCTTTGTTTACTACTGTTAGAGCTCTCCTGACTAGGTATGGGAATTATTTAAGCCATTTCTAGCTCAGTTAGAAGTTGTGTAATTTGACATGAGTATGCTGATAACTTGATCCATTGTTTATACAAAGCTATCCAGGGAAATAAATAACTATAGTCTTATAGGATCTAAGTGCAACTATAAAGAAATAAAAGTAAATGAAAAACCTCTCATCTTTGGCTCTAGAAGTAGATAGCATGTAATTGTTTGTTATAATGTGCAGTCATTATATTTTATTGTTACATGGTGGTTACAAGGTATGTCAGATGGGCTAAGTTTGCATACAGTATTAGAGTGGAGAAAATAACAGATGAAATATAAAGGTTTACTGAAAGAAAACTTGATATTCATTTAGGATTTTCTAGAAGTTGTAAAAATGAATTTGAAAACTGTAAGATGAAAAAAGTACTTTTAATATTAATATGAAAATCACTTTGCACTCAGCCTAGTCAGAGTCTGACTTCAAGTTTACACACAGTTCTATAGTAAAAATATTTAATTAAAAAAGTCAGTTTTTTTGTGTACAGAAGCTTTTTAATGTTTACTAAAAGCCAAATTTTGTGAAGGTACACTCATTGTATCTATAGTGTTGTGGTTACAAGGTTGGTCAAAATGACTGATCTTGGATCTTCCTTGATGCTACAGGATTAATCTTTGTAAATATTTATGAGGAGACATACAGGATCTGTACAAATAATTGTTTACATTTCAAATAGAAATTATTTTTAAATCAAGAAATATAGAAATGTGATAAAGGACCTAAAAACCCTGAAAAGTTTTGTTCATAAGAGAATTACTGAACAATCCAGTATAAGTAAAGAAACTACTGCCCCACCAACTGCATGCTTCCAATATAACTAGAGAAAGTCTCTGAGGAAGGTTTCTGTTGAAGTTAATACAACATAAGCCATAGTGTTTAATAGCCTAAAAACACAGTGTCTGATGATGCAACAGATGTTGAAAGAGGACAGCAAAGCAACATTATATATATATATGTGGAACACTCAACAGATGTATAAAGAGGACTACAAAGCAACATTATAGGTATGTGGAACACTCAACAGATGTAGAAAGAGGAAAACAAAGCAACATTATATGTATGTGGAGCACTCAACAGATGTTGAAAGAGGACAACAAAGAATCATTATATATATTCATTCTGTGTACATGGAACACTCAACAAATAAAACTGTCAAATATTAGGAGACAACAACAGAATCCTTACTGAAGGATATGTGGAACACTTGTCTGAAACAAAGAAAAATGTCACTGGACATATTTGAGAATGTGAATGTTCTCTTAGACATTTGAAAACTTGTGGTGTTACTGGCACACTTCTTGATTATTTTGTACTTAGTGTTCATAAAACACCCTGTTACTGCTGAATTAAATAAGTGGGACCCTAGACTTTGCACTCTATAGCCAAAACATTACTGGTCTTTGAACTTTGGAAATACACTGAATCCTTGGACTATACCCCATGTCCAGCTTTACATGTCAAGGGTATATCAAAGAAAGTACATGTAACAGTGATGTCTGTAGAATTGCACTGAGGTCATTTGAACATGTTAAAGCCTGAGGGTTAATTACTTTTTAAGGAAATAACTATTTTCCTACATAATTTCTTGTACTCTAGGAATATCTTTATTTCATATTAATTCTGGTAGCATGATTGTGATGGTAAATAACATTCACTTGAAAACATGTTTATTTATTGTTACTTTAATGTATAGTTGTAAAATATGTCCTTATTGAGTACTACAAATTAGCCATATCTCATCACTTGCTGTTGATGACATTAATTCCTTCCACTTTATATGGCATTAAACCTGTGAATTTATACACATTGTTTTATGATATAATCTGTATTCAGAATATGAACTACTTGTTTTTTAAATTACAAGATGACTGGTGTGGATTAGTTTATCCAGTATTTGTTTAATGATTTATTAGCTTTAATGAGTCAGTAAAGTGTAGAAGGTAGATCATAGTATTATTTTTTGTGGAGAAGAAGTAACGTGTACTACCTTGTCTTGTTCTGTAGGTTTTCAAAGCATGGGCATATTACAATAAAAGCACTTTGGCAGAATTTCTTGTGCCACAGAACTTGTTAAATTACATGATGGATATTAATGCAAAAAACAAAGCAAGGTAGGTTATATGTTGAAAAGTTTCTAGTACTCATGATTGTAATTTTCATCATAAAATAATATATTGAATTATATTGGTTTTGGTTGCAGTAACGTGATTGAAATATTATAGGCTAATATTTTTTTCTGGACAGAAGTAACTGCACTTTCATACCTTATATTAGAATGATCAGATTAAAAATAAGTTTTCTAAAATTTTACACAGAAAACCAGACGTTGATTAATTGTTACTACATAAAGCTGAAAGTAGTTTAGATACAGTTCATCTAATCAAAAACATCTTAGGTGTGAAAAAAAAAAGGTGTAGCCAAAAAAAGATTGAGCGTGTGACTTAAAGGAATGAAATCAAAATTGGTGGCCAAATTGGTAGCTAGACTTATAGCATTGATACAAATTTTGAAGTTAATATTTATTCATTAGTTAGCCAGGCCACACTTTTTGTTCAACTTGGACACAATGGTGGGTAAGACAAAATATGCAGTTTACTGTATTTAAAGAACCAACTAGATTCTTTAAAGTATAAAGTGATAGTTTTCTTCTCATAAACAATGTTATTAATTTCCTTTATGGTGATGCCATGGAATTTAGATTAACTGTTTTTTGTCATCACGTACATGCACTCAGTACAGCTGTATCAAGCATCATTATTTATGCTAATTGCTTAAGCTAATATCACATGATGCTAAATGCTCTTTACCATATTTTTCGGAATATAAGACATAATATTTTGAAGACATAGTTTTGTATCAGCAAATAAATAAATTTAATAATCACAAAAATAACATCAATATCTACTTGTTTATGGAAAACTTTAGTTTGGATAATTATAAGAATGACACTAATCAATTAATCAAATATAATCAATTAATAAGGCCATTAGTTAATCAATCAGCAAATACAACTGATCACCCAGCTCTAGTTATTGGAAATTATTGTATTTTTAAATTTCAAACCTTTAATAAGTACAATGTATGCTGAAAACAAAATTTCTCGAGAGGTGTTAAGATAAAAGTTCTAGATAAAAGAACACAACTACTGTGTTCACATACAACAATTATATAAACACTGATAAAAGTAGTGTTACAATACCCACATTTCACAACTACTGTATTCACATACAACAATTACATAAACACTGATAAAAGTAATGTTACAATACCCACATTTCACAACTACTGTATTCACATATAACAATTACATAAACACTGATAAAAGTAGTGTTAAAGTACCCACATTTCAAAACTACTAAACTAGAACAGTTGTACTTTAGATAGTGCAGTACTAACGTGTGAGTTAAATAACTAGAACAGTTGTACTTTAGATAGTGCAGTACTAACGTGTGAGTTTAATAACTAGAACAGTTGTACTTTAGATAG